TTAATTTGCTTGGCTTAAATACCATCTATATTCTGTCAATCCCAAATTTTGATCTCCAGCCCTGACAAGTCATCTGAACTCCAGAACCATATTTCTAACTGCCTAGTCAGTATTTTCTCTAAGATTAAGAATAGGCACCTCTAATGTAATAGAAACAAACTGTATTTTTTATGCCCATGAAACTCAACCCTTCTTCACCATAGTAAATGAAGTCACCACCTGTCCAACAATTTATTCGGGTAGACATTTGTGTGTTGTTGTTTTTTTTTAAAGATAGCTTTATGAAAATATTATTTGCATATAATAAAATTCATCACCATGACATAGATAATTTGATAAGTTTTGTCAAATGTAATCACCACCACAATTATAATTAAAACGTTTCCATTACCTTCTAAAAGTCTCCTCCCTTCCCAGGCAACAACTGATTTCTTTCCTCTCAAATTAGTTTTGCCTTCTCTAGAATTCCATTTCAATAGAATCACGTAGCATGCACATTTTTTGAGTCTGGCTTCTTTCCTAACTTCAACTAAACAAGTCCCCCACTACCTCTTCTCAGCTAACACATAACCCTGTTTTTTTTTCTTCACAGCTTATATCACTAAATGGAATTAGCTTATTTAGTAAAAAATTTTTAACTTGAATATAAGTTCCATGAGTGCACAGGGACCTTCTCTATCTTGTTAGAGATACCAAACTCTTCCAACAGTGTCAACAGTACCTGGTACATGCTTAATATTACTAAATGAATAAAGAAATTAAAATGACCCCTTCAAGTTTTTCCTACTGAAATTATACATAAATGGTCAATATGCTGAATCAGTACCTTATTCTAAGAGGAGCAAACTGGGAGGGAGAACAGCACAGTGGGGAGGGGCAAGGCCTCTGGAGTAAGGCTGGCTGGTTTTGGATCTGGACTGTTGACTTTTCAAAATGTCATTATGGCCCTGAGCAAGTTACATAATCTTCCTAAGCTTTCATTTCCGCTCCTGTAAAATTGGGGATAATAACAGTTTGTTTCTGCCTTATATGGTGGTTGTGAGGATTAAATAAGATCAAACATGTAAACCAATTAGCAAGTGCCTAGTACTTAGAAATAAATTAATGGTAGCCAATATTGTTATAATTATTGCCAACCCTACCACCACCAGTACCATCACCACAACTACTATTTTCTTCCTATTTTTCTGCAGCCAAAACTGAATAACAAATTTCATAAAAATAGCTTTTTAGCAAATAGCCTAAAATATTTGTTTAGAATAAAGCCAAGTAAATGAAACTTGAACACAAAGTACTATTATTATTTTCCTTATTGATATAAGTGATGATAACATTCTGTCAACTTTTGCAATATCTTAGATTCCAGGTATTTTCCTGAAAGGAATAACAAGGATGTTAATTATAATTCTGGAACTCACAGTTAAAATCCTCAAGGGTATAAACAAGTTCAAGAGGCAGGAGTTCAGATTCCCATCACTAGTAGCCCATGGGTAAAGTATATTTGCAATTTATATTTCTAGTCCTATAATTTAGCTAATTTGTGGCATTTAATTAACTTTATGGGATTTTTACAAAGCAATCTATAATATTTTATTGCTTTTTCTAATTTTCTTTTCTAGGATGTAATCAATGAATAAAGTGATACCTATAAATAGCTATAAACAGCCTATAAATGAATAGAAATTGGTGATTCCCCCCAAAAGCCAATACTCTCCAGCCAAAGTGGCTCAGTTGGCTGAGCACTATCCTGTACATCAAAAGGTTACTGGTTTGATTCCCAGCCAGGGCACAGATCTGGGTTGTGGGTTTGATTGCATTGGGCACTTACGGAAGGCAACTGATTAATGCTTCTCTCTCACATCAATCTTTCTCTCTCTTTCTCCCCTCCACCCCACCTCTCTCTAAACATGTCCTCAGGTGAATATTTTTAAGAAGCCAATATTACAATGTTAATGCAGTGTTTCCCATACTTGGGAGTTGATATGAGTTTTCTTCCTATCAAAGGTGTCCCTGAGGAAGAAATCATACATAGACCAAATATAAGAATATATGTATTGTGATTCATTCTATAATAAGCATACTCTTTTTTTTTTTTTTTTTTTTTTTTTTTAATCCTCACCCGAGGACATTTCTCCATTTTTTGTACAGATAGAGTGGGAGGGAGAGAGAGGAAGAGAGAGAGAGAGAGAAACATCGATGTGAAGGGACACATCGAGTGGCTGCCACCCGCACGACCAACCAGGGCCGGGGACAAACTGCAACCGAAGTACATGCCCTTAGCGGGAACCGAACCCGGGTCTCTCCGGACCGCAGGCTGACACTCTAACCGCTGAGCCAAACCGGCCAGGGCAATAAGCATACTCTTTATGAGGATCAACCTACTTAACTTCTCACCTATCTACCTATACAGTATAACAATAAATTTTTCTGATAACCCATATGGACATGATAGCAGGTTGAAATTTATCAACACTAACATTGAGGATCATTTTCTCCAAATATGAATAAAACAGAATTACTGGTTTGCTAAAGGTGGGAGATTCATGAGATTTTGTGTTCAGGATAAACTTTTTATAAAAATATTATTAGCAAAAGCCTTCAGTTAAGGAGTGAGGAAAGCTTGCTTAAACTTTACACATTGATATGCCCATAAGTCCTGACCCTATTTTAGGCATATTAGTCACAGGTAGGAAAGCTGGGGTGTGTGTGGAAGGAGGAGAAAGGTAGCAAATTTTACTACTGGTGCAAGACTCCAAGTCCAGTGGACATGAAATGTTGGCTACCTTACAATAGCAAACACTGAGTAAGGTAAGGCATTATCAATGTTGATCCTAAAAGAATGTGGTATGTGAAAGATGTACCAAGTTCCAGCCCTCAGAGATCTAAGGGTGAGAACAAAACCTAAACACAAGTTAGGTATTAGAGAGGGTTTCAAAAACCATGGCCACATACATAGCTATTTCATTAAAACATGCTCAAGTCAAGTAAGGCTTTCACTTAGCACTGCCTTTTCTTTTCTTTTTTTTTTATGTGCCTCAGGCATGAAACACCTCTGGCCACCAATACAGGCATCAAGCTAGGATGAACTAAGGACTATACATCTGCTTTGCCCCTGATTACCAACACCATCAATCAGGTGTCTCCTTGCCCAATACCAGGGGGTTGCACTGCCTTTTCTAAGTTGAAGCCCAAACCACGTGCACTTTTCACTAAGAAATATTGTCATTAAAATGTAAAACAAAAAAGTCTCTGCTAGATGTTCTCTGTTCAACTCTGTCAGCCACAAAACAAAGAAACTCTCCCTCTCTCTTTCCCCCTCTTTTCTTTTCCTCCTCTCCTTACAAATATACAACTATTTGTAAGAAAACAAACAAAATGTAGTACTTATTCATGTCATGAATGGATTATCCTCACAGTACTCTGAAACTATACAGAACAAACTTTACAGTATATCATATATTGTAGTGTTTCTTATAGACAAGAAATGCTTCAGACAAATCAGCAGAGAAGAGTGTTTTTTAAGGTAGGTATTTTTCTGTTTGGGTGATAAATATGTGTTGATTTACTCATGCCATCTTGCCCAACTTCATGGTGACCAACAGCCAACATCTATGTGAGGTTAAAAGAGTGGTCTGTGGTCACACAAGTGGTTTAAGCAAACTCTCCCAAATCAGGACTTAACAATGATCTTGATCTTACTGGCATGGAATTCCAATCAACTGAACTGGCAGGCAATTAAGCATTTTATATACAACATGTGATCAATATATATTTGTTGATACTAACAATAGATTACAGAAAGAAGTAGAAAGTAATCATCACTCTAATGGAAAAAAGAAATAAAAAAGATAAGATCTGTTACAATACTACTGCTATCTTGGGATAAATGCTACTTACAGGTCGCTTTAATTTTTACAATAAATGGGTAACAGTGTGTTCTTAAGAATTAACTGAAGTGATAACTTAATTTAAACTGTATAAAATTTATCCTGGATATTAGAAGAATTAAAGCATAAGCCTTCAGTAAAATGAATAAGAAAATAATCTTGGGTCGGCCAGTGTGGCTCACTGGTTGAGCATCAACCCAAGCACCAGAAGGTCACTGGTTTGATTCCTGGTCTGGGCACATACCCTAGTTGTAGTCCCAATCCCAGTGGGGGCCATGCAGAAGGCAGCCAATTCGATGTTCTCTCTTTCTCTCTCTCTCTCTCCTTTCCTCCCTCTAAAAATCAATAAAAAAAATAATAATAATCTTGGTTGTTTTCAAAAGAATCATTTTAGCTACATCTATAATGTGTGGTTGAATAAACAAGTACTAAAATAATGTAACACTGAAAATATAAAAGAAAATACTTCTATGAATATTATTTTTGCTTATCAAAGTTGTTTAAGGAAACGTTCAGTCAGGTATATTTTTGCCTATATAAAGAAAAGACTAAATACGAGTAAAATAAAACCATGTAAATTCAATTATAAAAATAAAACTAATAAAGTTTTCAATTGTTCATATAAATAATCAAGTTATATTGTATGTAGGGCATATTTGTTGATATGCATATACCTTTTATGAACTGTAAGAATTATTTGTGAGGTTTTATTAATTATTACTATGTATTTCAGGTTTAGATACAAAAATTAGACAAAAATTAACTGAATCAAATTGTTTCCTACATATGTATATTATTTTGTATTGATGGTGAGCGTATGTATGTTGGTTTGTGAAAAAGAAAAACAAATATGTTAAACAAATGGCTTAATGTAGTTTCAGTGACTAAACATAAATTTGGATTGTAATGTTTTTTAAATAGAGTAAAAAGGTAATATTACAAGTATAAGAAAGTACAAATATAGCTTTATTTAGAATTATTTGTTTAAAATATTAATACCAAAGGCAAAATTGATTAAATACTGATATGTCCAGTAAGATAAAATAAATGTAAGGATACTGCATTTTAAGAAAAATAAGAAAAAAATATTCACAAAGAATTAATTTCACTCACCTGACTAATTTTTCTTTGCTCTTGTATAGCTTTTTGAATGGCCTGAGATACTTCTTCTTGATCTTTTGCATGCTCAGTCTTCCATAATTCCCTTTCCTCAGCATGGACTTTTTCCAAATTTTTTCTTTCTTCTTCTATGGCTTTTAAAACTGCATCCTTCATTGCTTCTTTCTCAAGCTTCAAAACAAATAATGACCAAAACAAAAGAATTGAAAGGATGACTGCACAGTATTTCTTTGCCTAAAACAGACTTGGGTTAACTGAAAAAACACAACCTTTGATTCTACAGGGTTTAATTCTGACGTTGCTTTTTTATGCATATTTAATAAGTGCCGTAAAATAAAATCAATTATTTGTCTTTGTACAAATAATCAACTTACTTTCATGGCATTTCTAAACTTCAAAGAAACCAAGCCTTAGCTTAAAAATAGCAGTTGTTGAACTATTTGGTCTTGGGATCTCTTTACATTCTTAAAAATTATTAAAGACTTCAAAGAGCTTTTGTTTATGTTGGTTATACATATTAAGATTTACATATGAGAAATCTGAAGCAAGATAAAATTAAAATATTTACTGATTAATTCATTAAAAACTAATAATATTAATGTATTATATATAACGTATGCTATAATTTATAAAAATAACTATACTTCCCAAAATTAAAAAGTGAAAAGAATGTAAGAATGTTTGTAAACCTCCTTAATATCTGACTTAATAGAAGACATCTAGATTTTAATATCGCTCTTCTGAATTAGCCTGTAATATTGGCTGAGGTATATTAAAAAGAAAAAAACCAGTCTCACACAGTTATGTTGTAGAGAAAGGAGAAATATTTATGAGCCAGGTTGAAATCATTGCAGATATTCTGGATGATTACACACCAAAACTTAATAAGAAGTAGTTCTTAAAAGTTAGTTGCAATATGGAAAATCAAATCATGTCAAATTTTTGTACTTGTATTACAATGCTTTCTTGCACTTTGAATGACTCCTTTATCTATGCATGATTTTAAAAACATTATATTACAGCAAAAAAGTCACACTTGTTAACACTACCATCAATTTAACCAGAAAAGTTTTAGGTATTAGAAAGCAGATACAAAATTTCCAAAATTCTAATTTTTGCTCTAGAGCTCAAATTTTATCACTAGCAACAAACAGTGTCAGTTCTTTTTCTTAACGTGCTTGGCTCACTCCCCTTATTTCAGAGAAAGACCTGCCGAATACTAAAGTCTGCATAACCCTAGTTATTCAGTAAAATGAAGTTCCATGAAAAAATGCCGACACTTCAGCTGCAACTCAAACAATTGCATAAGAATATTCCTCCAGAAAACCATCCTACTCGGGATGCGGTAAAGTCCACAGACCTTCCACCCTAATCCCTAGAGTTACCACTTTTTCGATTGTTCCAGTTCACGACTAATTTGACAAAAGTTATGGAAGTTGACTGTTACCATTTTCTGAACTATTTGACTCCACTAGACTTCTCTTGCAGTACTCTTACAATGCTCACCAATACCTTCCATGTTGTTTAACCTAAATTTTATATCTATATCTATCTATATCTATATCTATCTATCGGTAGATATAGATATAGATATTGATATAGATATTTGTATATATGGACAGTACTTTTTAAATGTATTTGGAAGAGAGAGGAAGGAAGAGGGAGAGAGAAACATCAATGTGAGAGAGAAACATCAATCGGCTGCCTCCTGCACGTGATCTGGCCAGAGATCGAACCTGCAACCTGGGCATGTGACCTGACTGATAATTGAACCCAGGACCAGGAGATGGCACTCCAACCAACTGAGGGCATAATTTTTGTTGTTTTAGTCCTTACTTTTGTTTTCAGAGCAACACTTTATATAGATGCCTATTTCTGTTTTCTTGAAGCCCTCTCTTGTCTTGGTTTGCATGACAGCATGCAGTTTATGCTTCTCCTACTAACTTCTTCCTTTCTCTGCATTTAAAATTTTATTGTTCTTTCAAGGCTCAGCCCTTGGACCACTTGTTACTGTACACTCTCCTGAGAAGTGATTATACGTGACAATAATTTCCATGGCTACCATTACCATCTACCTGCTAAAAAACAAAAACAAAAAAACACTATAAGTATCTTCAGGTCGTTCCTTTCTCCTGAGTTATAAATGTCAGGTAGATTTAGTTCTCTACTTGACTTTGTCATCTGTATATATCACAGGCACCTCAAACTCTATACCAAAGAAATAGCATTATTTTCCATGTTGCTATGGAATCGATACTCAGAGAGTTCACAACTTGGTCACCTCTTATATCATCCAGACAAAACATATATGTTGATTCCATCTTTTAACTATTTCTAGAATTTGCCTATTTATTTCCTTTCCAAAGAAATACTACTATTCTATTTCTGCCACTAATATATCTTACCCAGCCTAGCTTTTGTTGTTTCCAATTTCCAAATGTTAATGTCAACTACCAGTATTAAAAAAATGACAATATGTCTACCCCTACCTACGGAATAAAATTCAAACTTATAATTCAGAAAGCAAGTCATCCTTCAAGACTCATTTCAAAAGTAATTTATTGTTCAAAACTCCTATGACATGGAATTACTATCTATACACTCACAATAATATAATGTATTGTTTCTTGCCTTATTGGTAAATAAATAATGTTTTCTTACTTGACTGTAAGTTCTTTGAGAAAAAAAGAGAATTACAGTTACCCTTGAACTTTCACCTCGGTATAGTTATTTACACATAAGAAACTTTCAATATGATTGCTAAATCTAAATCCAAACCGCAAAAGTCAGTATTCTATATTTATATGTTGGTATATATGTTTAATATCTATGAATCATTACTGAGATGAGCTATTTCAAAATTGGCTATAAAAATCACATATCTTGATACATAATTAAATGTATATGTACATATAAATACACACACACATGTGCACAAAACACTCTCACACATATTACCTGTATGATACCTATCAAATACCAAGTGGAAATCAGTGCCTCTCTCTCTCTCTCTCTCTCTCTCTCTCTCTCTCTATATATATATATATATATATATATATATATATATAATTAATTTTTGTTATCATTTCTTTTAAATCCTCACCCAAGGATATTTTTCCATTTATCTTTAGTTGGAGTGGGAGAAAGAGAGAGAGAGAAACAGTGATGTGAGAGAGAGACACATCAATTGGTTACCTCCTGCATGACCCCAACCAGGGCCAGCGACCAAACTGCAACTGAGGTACGTGCTCTTGACTGGAATTGAACCTGTGACTCTTTGGCCTGTGGGTCGATGCTCTAACCACTGAGCAAAGCCAGCCAGGGCAATATATATATTCTTTTAAAAATTCTTTTAATAATTAATTACTAATCTAAATGTAAAGCAATTCAATATCATTATAATCTTGTATAATGTGAATTTAACAAGAATATAAACATAGTATCATACAGTATAAGAGGAAAAATAAAAATAAAAAACATTCTTTTTAGTTTTTCTGGAATAAAGTATCTTACAAAAGATTGGCTATACCATTAATGAACTCAGTTTTTTAATTCCACTTACAAAGAAACCCATTATTACAGATGATATATACCAGGCAAGTGAGTGATAAATATAAATTTTACATGAGAATAAAAATTTCAAATTTAGGCTCTGAGGTGGAGGTAAGCATAACAACAAATAGAACAAATAAAAGTTACAGGAATTAAACCACAGAATAAACTTTTCAGGTGGAAATACCTTTGCAGCAGATACTAGTGCATCTTTATTTCTTTGCCTTTCTTCCTCTAAACATTTTTCCAATATTTCCTGTAAGTGATGAGACAGATACTAAATGTATTATCGAGAGTAACAGAACATATTCTTTGCAGACTCTGAGCAGACTTAAAGTATTACCTTCTGTTCTTGAGATTGCTGAATCAAAGCTTCCTTTATTTTTTCTTTGAATAGGTCCTTCTCTGTATCTAGCATTTCAAGGAGCCTCTGATGCTAGAAGGATAGATAAATGGATTATGATTACACACTGAGACCTATAATCTATCAACAAAGAGAACAGCTGGTACAATTAATTTGCTCAAAAATACTGTGTTTTACTACAGATTCAAAAGATGAATCTAGAAAAACAGTCAATATTATGTGATAGCTAATGTTAAAGTACATGTTCATGTATTTACTTTTATTCCAATGCACTAATTTAAAAAACACACGGAACTATCAGCCAGTTATTATAAACTAGACACCTAGATTTTGAATGGAGTTTTCTAAGAAAAATTTTTTGTAGCTTCAATATAGATTAGCCAGATACTCGTTCTGGAGCAGTTTTCTTAGGGAGAAACACAACCAAAAAAAAAAATATTCCTATTCTCAAATATATTTCAGTTACAAAGGGCAGATAAGATATTTTCTCAGATTTAGAATGCTATGTATATAGAAACCTCCTTTAAATATATATTTATTCTGACATCCAATATTTAAAACCAGATCTATGTCTTCCAAAGTAGTTCTGACGTAAAACTTAAAAAAATTTTTTTTCTTTACTAATTTTAGAAAGAGAGGAAGGGGGAGGGAGGGAGAGATAGAACCCTCGATGAGAGAGAACATGGACTGGCCGCCTCCTGCATGCCCCATATTGGGGATTGGGCCCACAACCTGGGCACGTGCCCTGACCTAGAATCCAACCAGTGACCTCTTGGGTCAACGCTCAATCAGTGAGCCACACCAGCTGGGCATGATGTAAAACTTTTTTAGGGAGGCAGTCTACATTTAGAGTAAGTGACCAAATAGTCAAATCTAGTTAAGACAACCTATTATTCCTAGTTTTCATTGTTACTTTTTATCTCTATTTTCCAAGAAAATAAGAAAATCACAAGAAAGAAGTACATTTTCTTGAAAAACAAATCCAAAATGTGAAGCAAATCATGACATAATTATGAGAAATTTTTGGTAGCATATGAATTTGTGAAAGTCAATTGACTAACAATCAGTAGACTTAGCATGTGATATATAATAATAACTGGAACTTTAACTTTGTTTTCCATGTAAGTTTAGAATTACATGGAATGTTATAGAAACAAAAACAATATCCAATCTTATTTCAAAACACACATAAGAAAAAATGTAAAGATGTTATGCCAGGCAAATAATTAGACTTAAAAATAATAAATACAATTCTTATATGAGGCCAAAAATATTCAATTTAGGCTTTGAGGTAGAGGCAAGCATAACAAAAACAGAAAAAAATATTAGAATTAAACTACAGAATAAACTTTTCAGAGTCATTAATAATTTTGAAAATTATTTCTCCTTTAAAAGAGCTGTTAGTTAACAAGTCAGACAAATAGAAATCATTAATGATTATAGGCCTAGTCACTCCAGTGGTTCAACCAAAGGGCACAACAGCAAAAGTGACAATGCAATGCTTAGAACATTGATGCCTCAATGTCATTTCTTAATTCTGACAGAACACTGTAATAGAAGACTATTTTGAACTTTCTTGTATAAGAATAAACCCAAAATTACCATTTGAAAGATGCACTCTGCATAAAATATGCCTTATATAAACATTAATCTACCTGAAAAATATAATTAGGTTACTGTTTTTATTATCATACAGATGATAATAACTAACATATTTTGAGCATTTTAAAAGATTTCAAGCACTGATGAAAGTTTTTTACATGTAGTTGTACCTCATTAAACCCACACAACAAACTGCTAAGTCAGGCAATATTCTTCATTTTCAGATGAGTGATCAAAGACTTACTTAGAGAGGCTAAGTAACTTGCCGGGTCTCTCAGATAGCACTTCAGCAATAATAATATCTCTCTGTACCTGTACATATTATCACCTGTAGTAATTACCTAATAGTTAAAGGGAGCCTCAGTATTACCTAGTTATTATTACCAGTAACTAAAACTACTTAAATACAAGTAAAGTTCATTTTCATTTGGCTTTAAAGAATTTGATTAATTGATGCTTCTAATTTTGTTCTTTTCAGAGTAATATTAAAATAAGATAATTTCCTGAAGAAATATAAATTAATACCACAAGAGGCGATTCAAATAATGCTGAATGGCATAGGAAAAGTTTGTCTTAAAAGTAAATATAGTTAGCCTGGGCCAGTGTTGCCCAGTGGTTGAGCATCAACCCATGCACCAATAGGTTGCCGGTTCTGTTCCCGGTCAGGGCACATGCCCACGTTCCGGGCCAAATCTCCAGTGGGGAGCATACAGGAGGCAGCCAATCTATGTTCTCTCTCATCAATGCTTCTATTTCTCCCTTCCTCTCCCTTCTTCTCTCTCTCAAATCAATAAAGAAAAAAAAAAGTAAACATGTTCATTTATAAAGTGAATAATCCACAAGGAACTTATCAAACATCATAAAAGTTCAGTAAAATAAACTGTTTTTATAAACGTCACATATAGTTATTGTGAAAAATATAAAGAAGTACAAATCATCCAGAGTTCTGTTACTCAAAATCCCTGATAGCATTTAAACAAACATCCTTCTGGATAGCTCTTTGTGTATTTAAATATATAGATAGATGTAAATATTCTATATAAGTTTATAAATACTGTTCTGTAATCTTTTCACACTCAACAATGGCACTCACTTATTTCTATATAAATGTGTTATTTTTTATCAAATTAATTATACATTTTACCATTGTCCTCTCTATATACATTTATATTGTTGCAATATTTTACCTTTAAAAAATATTGATTTTTGTACATGAATCTTTGTGAACTGTTAAATTGTAACCTTATGAAAAATTCCTAGCAATGGTCTTAGCCAGATAAAGACTGAATATGTTTTACATTTTGATAAATACCCTCAAAAGTACTCTAGATGTAGTCCCAGGTATTCATTTTCTCCTTTGTTTCTGTTGCCTTAGGTGATGTATCAGTGAAAATTCTGCTGCGAATGATGTCTGAAATGTTGTTGCCTACCTTTTCTTCTAGGATTTTTATAGATTCATGAGTCACATTTAAGTCTTTTATCCATTTTGAGTTTATTCTTGTGTATGGTGTAAGTTGATGGTCTCATTTCATTTTTTTTGCATGCAGCTGTCCAATTTTCCCAACACCATTTATTAAAGAGGCTGTCTTTACTCCACTGTATGCTCTTGCCACCTTTGTCAAATATTAATTGAGCATATTGCCTTGGGTCCATTTCTGGGTTCTCTGTTCTGTTCCACTGGTCTATATGCCTGTTCTTGTGCAAGTACCAGGTTGTTTTGATTAGTGGCTTTGTAGTATAACCTGAAATCTGGTAATGTGATCCCTCCAACTTTGTTCTTTTTCAAGATTGCTGTGGCTATTCGAAGTCTTTTTTGGTTCCATATGAACTTTTGAAGTATTTGTTCTGATTCTGTGAAGTATGTTGTTGGTATTTCTATGGGGATTGCATTGAATCTATAGATTACTTTGGGTAGTATGGACACTTTAATGATGTTAATTCTTCCAATCCATGAACAAGGTATGCGCTTCCACTTTTTTATATCTTCCTCTATTTTTTGTTTTTATCCTCACCCATTTTTTTGTTCAGGTAGAGTGGTAGGGAGAGACAGGAACAGAGAGAGAGAGAGAAATATCGATGTGAAAGGAACACATTGAGTGGCTGCCACCCGCACGACCGACCAGGGCCGGGGACAAACTGCAACCGAGGTACGTGCCCTTAGCGGGAACCGAACCCGGGTCTCTCAGGACCGCAGGTCGATGCTCCAACCGCTGAGCCAAACCGGCCAGGGCTCTATTTCTTTTTTCAATGACCTGTACAACACATGGGACTGCATCAAACTAAAAAACTTCTGCACAGCAAAAGATATAATCATCAAAATGGAAAGGCAACCTCTGTATAGGAGAGCATAATTGCCAATGATATATCAGATAAGGGGTTAATTTCCAATATATATAGAGTGCTCATACAACTCAACAGAAAAAAAACAAAGAACCCAATTAAAAAATGGGCAGAGGAACTAAATAGACACCTCTCCAAACAGGACATACAAATGGCCAAGAGACATATGAAGAAATGCTCAACATCACTAATCATCAGAGAGATGCAAATTAAAACGACAATGAGGTATCACCTCACACCTGTCAGAATGGCCACCATCAACAAATCATCAAACAACAAGTGTTGGTGAGGGTGTGGAGAAAAGGGGACTCTAGTACACTGCTGGTGGGAATGCAGACTGGTACAACCACTATGAAAAACAATATGGTGTTACCTCAAAAAATTAAAAATTGAACTTCCATTTGACCCGGTGTTCCCAATTCTAGGAATATACCCTAAGAAACCTGAAACACTAATCAGAAAGAATATATGTACCCCCATGTTCGTAGCAGCACTATTTACAATAGCTAAGATCTGGAAACAGTCCAAATATCCATCAGTAGACGAATGGATGAAAAAACTGTGGTACATATACACAATGGAGTACTATGCAGCAGTAAGAAAGAGCTCTTATCCTTTGAGATGACATGGAGGGACCTGGAAAGTATTATTCTAAGCAAAACAAGCCAAACAGAGAAAGACAAGTATCATATGACCTCACTTATTTGTGGAATATAATGAACATTAACAGTCTGAGGAATGGGGTAGTCCCAGAGATGTGGAAATGGGGTACAGAATGACAATCCCCAGAAGAAGGGGTGGTGGGGGAGAGATAAACCACACAACTTATTATGCATGTATGCATGAACAATGGGCATAGACAACAAAGCTGGGGACAGGGCAGGGAGAGAGGGGGAGGGAAGAATCAGTGGGGGGAAAAAGGAGAAACATCTGTAACAAAAATAAATAAATTTATTTATTTTAAAAAAAAGTACTCTAGAAAGAAAACACCAAATTACACCTTACTAACAAAAGCAGAATAATGAAAATTATCCCCCAATACAGCATCACATAGATTGGAAGAGCAGCCAACCAAAGAAATTGTTACACTGTGGGAACATAGAATCGTTGCCCAAAAATATCCGGTATCT